AGAAATTAAAAGCAATTACGTTAAGAACTGACCAAGAAAATTCTTGAGAAGAAGTAGCTTAAACACTCTCCAAGACAACAAAACCATCATATTTTGGGGAGGTTAAAAAGAGCATCCAATGCAAACCGGTTTTTCATTAACTTTTTTCGTCATCCCCCCACCCCCCACCTCACCCGGTCCCCCAAGCACGGGGAATGTTAATAATCAAGAATATATTGGTAGTCACTCTTTTGAGGCTTAGTAATTTTTAAAACAAATGAAAATTACGCAGATATTTGCCAATAGAAGGCAAGAATTTAAAACAAAAGACGAGATCTCAATAAATATGTCATATAAATATCAAAGTGAAACCAGAGTTACATTTTCAATTGAAGAGAAAAACATAGCAGTTCTACTTCTCCTTATNCGTTTTCCTAACTTTATGTGTTGCTATAGAATCTACAAGTATCTTTCCAACTCAATAAATGCTAAATTTAATATTTCTAACTAAGACGGAAGGAGAGTTTTCGACAAAAAATAACTCGAAAATACTTTATTTTAGTGACGCGACTTCAGGAGTGGATTTCGAAAGCAAATACTTTTTTACTTCCTGCAAATTGCTTACTTAAAAACTAGTAGAAATAAAGAAACCTTGAAGGGAAAATGAAACCGTGTTGGAGGAAAGAAAGAGATCTCTTTATTACCAGTATCATAGCGGGCCAAGAGAATAAAAATATTGGTGGAAGATCTTTGTTTTGATTTGCCTTGGGTGCGATGATAAAAAAAGTCTAGTTCATCCTCTTCAATGAAAAACATCGTATGAAATATAAAGGCGGGGTTGATCCAAGGTAAAACATTATGAATACGAGTCATCTCCTAGCTTAATTTTCCTTTTGTTTCGAAGGGTTACCGATAATTAAGAAATTAAAAGCAATTACGTTAAGAACTGACCAAGAAAATTCTTGAGAAGAAGTAGCTTAAACACTCTCCAAGACAACAAAACCATCATATTTTGGGGAGGTTAAAAAGAGCATCCAATGCAAACCGGTTTTTCATTAACTTTTTTCGTCATCCCCCCCACCCCC